CCCATCACGTGGTTGTTCTGCCAAACAACTGCTCGAGTCTCGATGGTGGGAGGGCCCTGGTTGGTTGCAAGAAAGCCCAGCTTCCTGGCCTCGAGAAAGTTTTAATTTTAATTAGGAAGAAATTAACCAAGAAAAAAGAAAACGTCTTGTTGTTACCTTGGTTATTAGTGAGACAGATAAAATGACATTAGAGGATTGGCATCTCACGTACTTCTCGCAATACAGTAAAACCATACGAATGATTGCTTGGATATTCCGCTTCATCAACAATGCGAGAAAGATAAAAAATAAGATAAAAGGAGAGCTAACCACTGAACAAATCGAGGTAGCTGAAGTCTTCGTGTTAAAAATTGTGCAACGCGAATCATTTATGGACAAGAATGATAAACACTTGAGTGGATTCGACACTTTTAAAGACGCAAATGGACTAATTCGATTAAAATCGCGGGTGAGCAATAGAGATGACACTCCAGCATATCGCTTGCCAATAGTACTACCTGCCAGGCAACCTGTGGTTAATTGTTTGATTTTTCGAGAACACATTCGATCATGTCATGTTGGTGTACAGGGACTAATGAGCATCTTACGCGAGACCTATTGGATTCTGGGAGGACGACGTGCTATTAAATCCGTAATATCTCGGTGCGTCGTTTGCAAAAGACAAAAAGTGAAGTCATTTGAGGAACGTGCTCCTCCCTTGCCGTTTGATCGAGTGCGCGATGCCGTCGCGTTCGAAATTACAGGGGTGGACTTTGCCGGTCCCCTGTATTTGAAATCTAGACAGAAGTCGTGGATATGTATATTTACTTGTGCTGTATATCGGGCCGTGCATTTCGAACTTTGTACGTCGTTGTCGGTGGTAAATTTTATGGAAGCACTTCAGCGTTTTATAGCCAGACGCGGCCGTCCTAAAGTAATCTATAGTGATAACGGGACAAATTTTGTTGGTACCGATAACGCATTTTCTCGTCTGGACTTTCAGAAAATCGCTGAATACAGCAGTGCGGAACGCATTAAATGGCGATTCAACCCACCTACAGCGTCCTGGTGGGGCGGGTTTTGGGAGCGCCTCGTAGGGGTGCTAAAGCAGTTGCTACGAAAAGTGCTCGGTCGTGCTTCGCTCACCTATGAAAGTTTGGTGACGGTGATTTGTGACTGCGAGTCAATCATTAATTCGAGGCCGCTCACGTATCAGTCATCCGATGCTAATGAATTGATACCTTTAACCCCTGTAATGTTTCTAAGGGACTTGGCCGAGTGCGGTGTTCCGGATATTGATGCTGTCAATCAGTCTTCTATGTGTAAAAGATTGCTGCATAGACAAAAAATAGTTGAGGATCTTCGTCGTAGATTCCGCAGCGAATATTTGGGGCAGCTAAACTTGATGTCGAAAAAGCGAGAATGCAGAACAGTGACAGTCGGAGATGTGGTTCTTGTTGGCAATGACCAAGACAAACGCATTAGTTGGCCCATAGGACGTATCATTGAAACATTGCCTGGGAAAGATGGGAAAATTCGACTGGTGAGAGTCTTGACTGCGAAGGGACAGTTGCTGAGACCTATACAAAGGCTGTATCCTCTCGAGTGTGCGGACGTCAACGATGGTCTTCAAGAATTGCCAGCTGTAGAGACAACGCCTAGTATTGAAGAAGTTGAGTCTAGTTCACTGAGGCGCGAGTGCAACAATGAAGAAAGTGTCGCGAATTCGGAAGTTGTTAAAAGCAGAGCACCCGATTCGAAAAAGTGTGTTACGCGTAGTGGACGTAAAATTAACGCGCCCGCACAGTTAAAGGACTATTTTTTAGAATAGATGATAGATGTTAAGATGTTGTTACTATTATTATGTTCTATTTTTTCATCCCCCTTAGTATTTTTTAAGTTTTCGTTGTTTCTGTATGTCTCTGATAGTTTTGTGAGCCAGATTTTTAGTTAAAAATTGCCTCAGGTGGGAGGATGTCAGGGCATCAGTAAATATTTATTGTAATAAGTACCTATACATTTAAATTAACAGTCGGTATAGGAAATAGTAAAAGATTTGTACAGCATTTCGTCCAAGAAAATTAATCTTTTTTTTCTACTTTTTTATGGAATTTCGTTTACGTTACAAATTCTTGCTATGTAGACCCTCAACGGCGTCGAGAGATAAACATCTATTGTTCCCATTGTACTTTTTTTGCTTCAGGGCAAAGGACAGCAGATAAGAGAATTAGGCATTTTTTATTATTGAAACCTCATATTTAGGTCCGCAAGAGGTTCTAGCTGTTTCTCAGTTTTCTTAGTTTTTAGTCGCTTGTAAAACGTTAGTGGATACACATTGATTTTGTATATTTATCAGTATTTTACGCAGAACGGTTTTTATCATTTCCCAGTTAATTTAGAATAAAGAGTTTCTTTTGTTTAAATAGTGCTTTTTATTTTACGAACCGTGTTTCCGAGTATAACGGGTAGTTGTATTTCGGGGCACAAGACACAAAGGGAGGAATAAATGCATTATGAAATCGGGTAATTATTTTCCAGCTCGGGCGCGATGAGATTTATTTTTACATTTTTTCGTAGAATCCATAGATGAAATAAAAAATGGAGATAAATTGAATTGATTGAAAAGATTAAAGGTCACGTGATATGCTTTTGTTGGATCACGCGGCTCTGTATACGTTAAAGTAAGTCCAGAAACTGTACAACTATAGTGCGAGTATTTACCTGTAAAAAAAGTACCCGATTTTTCAATGAATTTATCCCAAGCTTCTTGAGCTCACGTATATTAACTGGAAGGTTTGTATATCAGTTTTAGCTTGATAACAATCAGACTGGTCGAAATGTCGAAATTATTGGGAGTAAAGGTAACGCAAGTCCAAAATCATGTCTCGCGTTTTCTATTTAAAGAGGCATGATAATAATAATCTTTATTTCAAAATTGTGCAACAAACATAAATTACGAAAATACAGCCGCAAGAAACTACACCCTGTACAACGCAGCGCCTAGATGATCAAACAATGCCTTTCGGAATTTAAGAACTCGTTGGGTATTTTTTCACAGGCTACATATCCGGCTTTTTGTGCTACAAAAATATTTTGAATTGATTCATCTCTTCCTCAGAATATGATGCCATACATGTGTGATCATTCGGATTCCATAGCAACTTGAATTGCGCTTCTCTGCCAATCCAAATGATATGAGTAGACCAAGTCAGAAATTCACTCAGGTAAACTCCCAGAAACTTTGAGCCCCCAGAAACAGCCACTCTATAATAATTCGCGGTCTCTAAATTCTCTAAGGATTCCATGCCCTCTGTTTTTGACTTCTTCGTCCTGAACAATAAAACATTAGTTTTTTCTCTATGATTAAATTCATATAATCTGCAAAACTTATTGTTCTTCAATTTGGCTAATTTTATAAAGATGATAAATTAATATAATGGTGGGCTTAGTATACTGGCACTGGCCTGAGGTATCCCTATATCGATGTCGAACTTTTATGTTTGGCCATTGTCTGTGATTATCACTCTCTAATTTTTCAAAAGCAACTCTCTATCAAGTCATTCGCCTTTGATAAATCCACAAAAATACCCTATACTATCTGACCTTTTTCAAAAAACTCATAAATTGACTCGGTAAATTCAAAAATGGCTATTTATGTGGATCTACTCTTAAGATACCCATGCTGATTATCATTAAACAAGTTACATGTATTCATAAAGTGTAACAATCTACTACACATTAGTTTTGAAAATAAAGACAACAGGCTCGTTGTTATAACTATAACATTCCGGGATCTCCCTTCTTGTGAAAATGCTTTACAGTGTTGCTACCTTCAGGAATCAGGTTATCCGGAAAAACGCTACACCTGGGGTGAATCGTTTACTAAATAATATAAAACCAGTTGCAGCTTACCTGTATTGGATTTACAAACACAAGATTGTTTGGCACTACATTTGCTAAAAAATTATTGAACCTATTTGCTACTCCATCCAGTTTACAGTAGCTCGTGCTTGCTTGGTGCTCAATATTTTGTGATGGGTCAGGATGACCATATCTAACTGACTTGGTTTTACTATTATAAAACCGTATACTTATATCTTAAGAAATGATGCAAAATAGCAGTCTTTATTTTTTACCTGTGATAAACATGCTTTTAACAAACTCTTTGGTTTGGTTCTTGTACTTTGTAAGGTTTCCCCGTTTGATCGCCGCTAACTAAGCTAATCGTCGTTTTCTTGATAATGCATTCAAATGGAGAAAAATATACTGGACTGGTCAAGCTTATTCAGAAATGCACAACTTTCTCGGCGACTTCCACATCCCACATCCAGATACTTAATCGGCATTTTACAACACTAGATATTTTTGTGACAACTTAGTACGCTACTTAACAGTTTGTTTGTCAACAAATAGCTTATCAAATAGGTAATCAAACTTGCCAGCAGAATAACTAAAAAAACTCCACTGCTAACATAAAAACAAAACACATACAAAACAAACTTGTTTGGTCGCCAAGCTATGTTAATTTTTTATTGACTGTTGGTTGATGGTTTGGATTGCCTTTGCCTAATAAAATGTCTAGCCTGTGTTTGTGTTTGCGTGCCATTAATTCTGGATTATTTCTTGAATTATGTTGTTTTTGAGGTTTTCTTGTGCCTTTTAAAAATAAGTTTAAATATGCGAATGAAATTCTCCCATTGTTTATTTACATAGTTTTTTCAACGTCCGACACTTGCCCAATTTTGGATTTTTGAATTACACAAAATACTCCCCTATTTATTTCTGCAAAAAAAAGGTTCAAATTCATCTGCTTTATTATCGGGCATTATTGTCCCAAAGCTAATTTCTTGCTCTATGGTCTGGGTCTGACACATTATTCTCAAAAGATAGCTATGGATTTATTGACTGGTGAATTGATGAAAATGTCTGGCGAAAATTGAGTTTTTAAAAATGGTCAGAATTAAATTAAATTAATTCATAAGTGATATCAGATCCGGTTTTGTTCGGTTTTCTCTGATCATTTATACAGCTATATAGATTGTTTTATTCTCTTTGAATACTGTGGCCAAGGCTAGCTCGAGCCTGATGTCTAAAAAAAGTAAATGTCACCATTGAGTGGCCTATAGAGTGAAATGACATTGACGACCTTCTAACGGCAAACCGCTGGTGTTCAGAGTCCTTGTTCTTGAAACAGGGGAGCACCGTTCCCAGGAAACGAGTGGTCCGTCTTTCTCAATCAAAGATTGCTATGGGTTTTTTAAACGTATGTCTTAGCAATATTTTTCTTTAATTTTGTCAATGAACTTTAATGTCAAAACTGTCAAAAATCATGACCAATAAAGAAACAATAATGCGACGTACTTTTTCGTAATCAAAATCAAAGCAATCTTTGATTGTTTCTTTTTGAAGACCCGTTATACTCCAGTATATTTAATTTCGTTTACATGGTACACCTGGAACAAAATCCCCTAAAGCTGCAAATTGCTGTATCCTTAGGCCTTGTATGTATGTATGTAGACGGCTCCAAAACTGCTAAGGGGACAGGAGCCGGAGTATTCGGGCCACGAACCAGATACTCGGAGCCAATGGGCAAATCACCAAGCATATTCCAAGCCGAACTTCATGCGATCGGAAAATGCGTGCAGTTCAACCTGAACAGAAGGTACCGAAAACGAGAAATTGTAATAATGTCTGGGGAGTGAACTCTGCGCCTACCGGTAGGTGCCGTTTGTTTCATTGATTGTGTGCCTACCGTTTATCTATAACGCTAAAACATTATGGTATTAGGTCCCCAATTGCCACATGATATAACGCCTATCGGTAGGTACTTTTTGTAAAAAGAATCCTGAGCCTACCGGTAGGTTCACATTAATTCAAGTATCCGTCGCCTACCCTACCTACTCTCTATTTACCTATCTAACCTAACTATACCTGCATTTACAAGAAGGTGACATATTTGAAAAAGATTTTCCACGTTTTTGGTGGATTTATGCTTCCGAGGATCTTCTCTTTGAAGTTTGGCGAGCGGAGCGAGCAAGCAGAGACTCAAAAATGATTAAAATTTCAAGGTGTTATATTTAATAAAGGTTTTTCACTTTTTTGATGGAAGGTTTTTCACGTTTTGGGTGGATTTGCGCTCCCAAGGATCCTCTCTTTGAGGTTTGGCGAGAGTAGTGAGCAATCGAAGACTCAAAAACAAATTCAAGGTGTGTGCAGAAGAATTTTTAATAGGTTGCCGTCTAGCGAATGAAGCAGATTCCAAACATCAACAAGTTTAAAGCCCAAATTGGAAAAATGTTAAGATACTAATAAAGGCTTATGTGGACGAATTTCTTAATGACTATACTACTACTAACAAACAAAATTTTATTAACGCATTTAGCATTAGCAAGAGCTGACTGGTAGGATATACGGATTCTAAAGTAGGCAATAAAACACCTTCCAGTAGGCGCTTGATCAATTGACGAAAAAGGACCTACCCTACCAGTAGGCGCACAATCGGTGGATGAAAAAGGACCTACTGGTAGGCGTACGATCGTTGTAGAGCAAAGGACCTACCGGTAGGCGTAGGATTCACTCCCTAATGTCTGACAGCCAAGCAGCTATCAAAGCATTGAGCTCGCCGGTAATCAATTCTAAGATATTATATGGGAATGTCTACAGAAACTCAATGAGCTGGGGAAGGAAAACAAAGTAACCCTACTATGGGTTCCTGGACACATAGGAGTCGAGGGCAATGAACGCGCAGACGAACTTGCAAAAACGGGAGCGGTCACTCCCTTCACTGGGCCAGAACCATTCTGCGGCGTCGGAAATGCGCACCTCCAAAATATTCTCAAAAAGGAAGAGAACCGGCTAAGGAACAAACAATGGCTACCCAAACAAGGACTACGACAGGCCAAAGATCTATTGGGTAGCTACAACCAAAAAAGATCGGAACTGCTGGTCAACCTTAGCAAGAAAAGTCTCAAAACTCTAACCGGGTTTCTCGCGGGAGATTGCAGACTGAATAAGCACCTACATAATCTGGGGTTGGAAGAAGGCAACACTTGCAGATTCTGTGGAGACGCTGAAGAAACACCTCACCATCTTCTACTGAACTGCGATGCCGTAAGCCGCTCAACAATGAAGAACTTGGGAAGTCCCCTTATACAGCTGGAAGATATTCCAGCCCTGGAACCGCTAGACATCCTGAAATTCCTGAAGGACCTAGGATTAGAGGGGCTGCTTTAAGCAGGAAACCCGAACTTAGCAGCAGAAGGAGGGGTACAATAGATCAACCTTTGTCGCAGTGCAACTGACACTTCCAACACATACATACATACATCATTAGGCCTTGGGGTGCTATTTAACGTACCGTCCTACAAGGGGTTGAGATAGGCAAAAATACGAATTTGTTATAACAATACTATATAAGTAGGAAATGTCGTTCACGTTTGTTGTATGTTAAGGAAATGAGCATCCAAAATGAAATTCTAGCACTAGAAACTGAAAAGTGAAATATGATAATACAAATATACATTGAATTAATACTTGTGTCCAACGCTGCAGTTTGACCTAAAAAATTAATAATTATTGTCAATTTTTTTTATTTACGCTATGTAACTAAATAATATTACCCATAGCTCTTCGTCCAAAGACTCCTCTTCCTCGTAAACATTACTACAAGAATTACATTGGCATTGACCACACAAGCTGGAGCAGTTCATATTTGCTTTCCCACAGCTGCAGAAGTTTCTGCAATCTGCTTTACAGTTGCAGAATACTAGTTTTAAAATAAAGTCCGATGCTATCGCTTTTTTGGTTGTCACTGGTTTCAGGATATTATTCTGTCGTTTCCATCCCCATTGAGTTTGGTGATATGCTGTGTTGTGATATCGATCCAGTTCTGAATTTGAAGATAAACTCGTTTGAAATGGAGGCAGCAGCGTCAGATGTTGGAAAAAACTTTGTTGGAGGCAAGCAAGCAAGTTCGAAGTTTTTATTCAGGCCTTGTCTCGCAGTCGTACTCATATTTTTTAAGATATCGCAGGTCATCTAGAATTCTGCATTTTTTATTAGCACCATTGAACCACTCTATAATTGAATCTGTATCTGCATTAGTGCATGCAAAATACTTTTTGCTGCCTTTTTTATTAAAGTTTAAAACAGGTCAGCTTTATCCCTTCTTAAATAAATCAGAAGTAGGTGTCACATCCAGATACATAACAAAAACAATAAATAACGTTTTATATTAGAACTTAGTAAGCATCTACAAAAATTCGGTATATCGTACTCCATACAAAAGGTGACGCCGATAATCCGATAATAAACAAGTCATTCGGATTGAGGAGCACTCAGAACTCTGTGATTGTAACTCTAGTAGATGGAGATACCTACTGAATGGTTTTTCTTATATTTAAAGTTAATTGCGACAAGTTTTATTTGTTACGAATGGGTAGGTATAGCTCTACAAAACCTGATAAAGTGACTGAAATTATCAAACTTCAGGATAATCTAGGCCCAATAGCGAAACACATATTGTTCTGTCATGCTATATCTGAATGTGACACTACTGCTGCTTTATTTAAGAAGGGAAAGCTGACCTGTTTTAAACTATGAGAAAAAAGGGAGGATCTGCAGCAAAAAGTAGACATAATTTTAGAACCAGATACAGATTAAATTATAGAGGTCGGAGAACAGTTTTTACTAGTTTTCCATGGTGCTAATAAACAATGCAAGAGTCTAGATAACCTGTGATATCTTAAATTATACGAGTACGACTGCGAGATAAGGACTGAATAAAAATTTGAACTTGTTTGCTTACCTCCAACATCTGATGCTGCTGTCTACATTTCAAACGAGTTTATCTTCAAATTCAGAACTGGATCGGTAACACAGCTATATTACCAACTCAATGGGGATGGAAACGACAGAATAATATCCTGAAACCAGTGACAACCGAAAAAGCAATAGCACCGGACTTTTTTTTTACAACTAGTATTCTGGAACTGTAAAGCAGATTGCAGGTACTTCCGCAGCTGTAGAAAAGCAAATATGAACTGCTCCAGCTTGTGTGGCCAATGCCAAGGTAATTCTTGTAGTAATGTTTACGAGGAAGAGGAGTCTTTGGATGAAAAGCTATAGGTAATATTATTTAGTTATATAGCGCAAATAAAAAAAAAAATGACAATAATTATTTATTTTTAGGTCAAACTGCAGCGTTGGACACAAATATCAATTCAATGTATACATATTAACATATTTCACTTTTCAGTTTCTAGTGCTAGAATTTCATTTTAGATGCTCATTTCCTTAACATACAACAAACGTGAATGACATTCTCTACTTTTATAGCATTGTTAACAAATTCGTATTTCTGCCTACTTCAACCTCTTGTTTGAAACTATATACATACCGTTTTATAGGAAATTTTATAGGCTTTAAATTTGATATGGATTATTTTCCATTAAAAACTAAAAATAAAGAAGATATTCCTAAAAAAGTTAAAAAATGTACCTTAGGGGTGGTTTTTGGGAGGGTTGCCACCTCCGCAGGGGCGGGTCTTTTAGTATGTTAAATAGCACCCAAAGGCCTAATAATCCAGCAATTTTCAGCTTCACGGGATTTTGTTCCGGGTCAAACTTAGATGTACTGGAGTATTACCATATTAGGTGGAACAAAACTAGACCGTTTTATGATTTAAGGCAAGGGCTCAAGGAAATTAAGCAACACATTGAAGAAGAGAACTACTACACTTAAATTTTTGCCAAAATGACAACAAATGCATATGGGTTGGAGCAGAACAAAGAAAGAAGCACAACAGAAAGTGATAATCAAAAGTCTCATCAAAAAGCACAAACACGTCTATCATAAATCCCAGAACAATAATAAACGTTTCATCTAGACTCTTTGACAATAAAGCAAACACCAACATCAGCCAAAAGACTGAAATTCACACCTACCACGGAAGAAATTCCAGTGGGTAGTATCATATCTAAAGCAGCAGTAGAAACCGTGCAAGAATCGAACCGTATTCATCAGAGAAATTCAAATAAAAGATCACTGGAAAAACGGCCAAGAATCTATCGAAAGAAGAGTAAGCTACAA